TCTTTTGTAAAAAGTGATGTTTTTTTTAGGGGAGATTGTTGTTTTGTTCAAGTTTCTATGAATTGATTGAAGCTTGCTTGCATAATTCCCCCCCCCCCCCTACCAGATGCCTCTTTGAGACAAGCAGAAATCATTTTGTAATTTAATTTTTACCGCCTCAAGTCAACATTGTTAGGCTGATTAGTGAGAGGATCTCTTAAAGTGAGAGCAAATTACCCCAAGGTCAAAATTAGATTTTGATTGTCTTCGGATAAATCCGCTGAAGTGTACAGTGCCCTGATTACTTATTACTGATTGAATGTTGCTTATTGCATTTGCCATCTCTGACTCCACCACCACTATCCAACAGTCATTTCATTTTGAACAGAGAACAGGTTAATGAAAGCAAAATTTTTACTGGATAAAAAGCCTTTGCTGAAAAATCAGATTCTGCAGTCAATGTAAAAGCTAGCGAATAATATAAAACTACAATATTTAATAATAAGGCTACCTGTTTGTTTCAAGGCTAAGCACATGACCTATTTGAAACCAATGGATGCCACATGGCAAAAAAACTAATTTGTTCTACAATGCTCTTTGCTGAATGACATCCTTTATTCTCGTCTATTTACTCACTGACTCTCAAATAAACGCAAAAATGCCCAAAAAGATTTCAACTGCTAGCATCACAGTACTGGCCAAGATTAAGTCAAGTTTGGAGATCTAGTCTCCTGCCAAACCCAGTGAAGTCTCAGTCAGTGTCTTATTTCCAGTCACTGTGACTTTCTGCTTATGAAAGTGCATTGTGTGTACATTTGATCAAACATTAGAGCCTGATCCTGTTTATAAGGCACAGTCAATCAAATCTATCTACATCAGATACCTCCTCATCTTCTCTGACTGCTTTGTCCTTGGTCAGGCTGCATACTTTTTGCTGAGTGGCTTTTGACCAATTGTGTATTTTTTTTTAATGACTAAATGGAATGGCAAATGGATTGAACCTACATAGCTCTTTTCTAGTTTAATCAACCTCTCAAAGTGCTTTGAACTGCATGCCATACACTTATACACACACACAGTCGTACACTCTCACTCACGCACTCGTGGTCTATACATCAGCAGATCAGTATCTTGCCCAAGGCCACTTGGACATGTGGACTGGAAGGGCAGAGAATCAAACGATGAGCACGGATGTACAGAGATGAAGGTGGATAGAAAACAGAACAATTCTTTCATCTAATGGTACATAATGTGAACTTCTGCTTCCTCTTGACTAATTCTTTCTAAGTATTGATTTGTATTTTGAGCCTCCTGCTCTTTCTATTTTAAAAAATCTTGGAAACCAGAATATTTTACCCAAAGAGATAAAGTTAATTCGAGACACAGACACAACTCTGGTTACTGCTAAAAAAAAACACAGCATGCAAGCCTGTTGAATAATCTTTTTGAAAACCTATAGACCTCAGTGACGGAGCACCCCATGCTGCTGCGTACCCTTCTCCCTGAGCCGTGTGATCAATGGGGTGTTTTATGTAGCTCCCACTATTCTGCTCCGTATTGTTTTTGACTGGTTACCATTTTAAACATCTTTGTCTATTTTTTCCTCTCTGCTCTACCTCTTTGCAGTTTGGAACACAAACTTCCTCCTGCACCAAATAATCTCTGGATCTGCTGCTATTCTCTATTTTAAAATCAAATCAACCTTATCCATACATCGTAAATGCAATCGTGAAGATTTTTAGGATTCGTAATAATCTGCCAGAATGGCGAGTGAATAAATAGAGTATTCCATTTATACTTTGACTATATATTCTGTAAGGATCTGTGCATTATTATTCGGGATGCATATTCTAATAAGATAATATCAGATGTCAGCCTGATACTGACTGAAACATCAGTTCAACTCTGATTCTACTTTCTTCTGTATTTACATCTTTGTGCACATACTATGTCATGCATAAGCAGAGGGCCCGTACACCCCAATAAAAAACAACTTCACAAGCAGAACTGCAACCTGAGGCGGCATGAAAAAAAAATTCATAATGAGCGTTGCTGTTTGTTACTCATTTTACTTATTCATTGTCATCCTGATGATTATCTGTGAACTTTGAGTCACAAGCTTAGCTTTAGCGCATAGTGGGAGCAGTCTCTCATAGGCAGAGCGCTTGCTATACACCAAAATGTTCTATGGCTACTACCAGTACTTTATGATGGTAAAAATATATTTATATGTACGTGTTTGTTTGACAAAGCTAGAAAAGCAGTATTTAAGTCTGAGGTTGCTTTACTCGTGAAAAATGTTCCACACACACAATACACACATGCAAAACAAAAAAAACTGTCCCTGATCCTTTTGAAAAGCTTCTCAAAATGAGTACAAGTAAGTTTTATTTCAAGTGCCCACGTGTGCAGAGTCTTTCTTCTTCAGAGTTGATTCTTTCAGAGCAGATTTCAAGACATTCTGTTTATGCCTCTGATTGTGAGATGTGACCCACTTGCTCTGTTCATTTTGTAGCTATTAAAGGAAACCCTCATCCTGCTGTTTCTTCAGCAGATAGTTACAGGTTTTCTAAAACCAGTAAAATGACAAAACTCTGAAAATGAACAGTGACTTAAGAGAAGAGTGCAAAATGTGTGTGTGTTGAAAATTGCTTCTTAAGGACTACAGATTTTTTTACTTTCACACCTGGTGCAAGAAGAGAGGCAAATTATAAGCTCGTGATAATATATGCGTGTTTTATAAAAATTATGATCTGATCACAACACTAAGTTAAATTAAAAGATAAAAAAATATTTTAAAAATTCAGTTAATGATTACACTGAATATGTTATATTTTAGCCCCAGGTTGTCCCTTTAATTACTAATTATTGTGGGTATCTGCACTTTGGAAACAGCAATTATCAAAAATGCAGCAACATAACATCCTGAGGTTTTTTATCTCTGATTAATATGCACTTTAAAACCTCCACATTAGTGAAGGCTCATGGGCATGCATATTTAATGAGAAAAACTATCCAGTGTTTTTGCACCTAGCAACAGGTGCACGGTCGCACAACAGAAGTCAGGGAGCAGACGGTGGGTGTGAAACCCAAGAGCCATGACTGCTGATGGTGTCGTTGACAACGTGTTTTTTTCTGTTCCTCTCTGATTACATGTAATGTAAGACAACACCACCTGACAACGAGCTGCATGAGAATCAGTATGAAGACAAAAAAACTGTAGATATGGGTTTCAGTGCATTTTCATTTGTTTTTTTTTTTTGACAGAACACAAGTTAATATACTGAGAGAGAGTCTTTAAATTGATTCAAATGATAATGTTATAATGCAACCCTCTTTGTCTGGAATAAAGTCAGCCAGCCACTACTAGCACCGAACATATTTTCAATGTGTTTCCATCACTTCTCTGTTGAAGCCTTCAACCGTATATCTTCCCTGATACTGCCTCTCTTTTCTAATATCTGTTTTCTTTTCTTATAACGATCTTTCTTTCCCCTTTCTTAACATCAGAGCTGTTCTTGTACCAACTGTTTCACACTTTTCTTTTCTTCCATGCCTCTGCTCCGCTTTCCTCTGGCCCCACTAACCCCTGACCCCTTCAGACTGGCAGTACGAGGGTAAGAGGGCAAACATCTGTTGTCTGTTTTCCCCCTTTTTTATTTAGTAGATTCTCTTTCATCATTTCCCTCTGCTACCATCTCCCCCACTCTCTTCCCCGTTGAAAAGCATTTAATCCTCAACTCTCCACACATCAGCTGCAGAGCGCATCGCCTCACAGCACCTATTCCTCCACACAAGATATCTCCCTTCCTCCTGTCTCCTGCTCTCCACCTCTCCTGCTCTCCACCTCTCCTGCTGCCCCATCTGGTGCTGTCTGTCAAGCTGCCATTACCTGTGTCCCATGTGCTTGTACCATCTAGCTGCTGTGACCTCCATCTGTGAAGCCACTCTCGTCAGTGCTCTGCTTATGAGGCCACATGCTTTGACTGCCCTGTGTGTCTGTGTCAGTGTCAGTATTGAACCATCCATTCCTGTTGGTGTTTGTGAGCTTGCAGTCACTGGTGCCACCTTCTGTGTGTCAGCGTGACATGTTATGAAATGACAGGGAGATCAATGTCACATCGTTGTCTTTTTTCCCAGTGTTTTAAGATTGTTGTTGTTTAGCAATCTTACATTCAAAATGATCACTTGGAATCGGGACAGAGGTATCAGCAACAAATGTACAAATTTAAAGTAATAAAGCCCAACTTATACAACATTAATAATAATAATAAAAAACTTTAATAGTCAACTTGGGAGAAGCAAAAGGGAAACCGGATTTTATATTTATTTGTTTGTCTATCATTCCTGTGCAGACTAGTCATGAAATCATTAGTTTTAAAATTAGAGGGTGTTGTATATAAACCAATATGGTATGTGTAAACAGGAATAGGGAGATTAATATGTCGGTCAAAAATATAAGTTCATACAAGTTCTTTAACAGACAAATTGGTATCAACATTTCCCGAAACGTATTAGTATGAAAAGTTAGATTTTACAGAATAAACAATGCTGAAAATATGTCAATTTGTTTACAGAAAGTTTCTATTTGACAAAAACATCCTAGGAATCATTGTTCATTATCTATAAATACATAAATACTGAACAAGAGAGGAAATCTCTTTTTTCCACTGCTAACATGATGTCTGAAATTTGACAAGGAGCCCTGAGTAGACATTGTTTTTTGTAGAGCTTAGATAAGCTTTTATAAAAATAACTCTTTTATATATCCAAAAGCTGTCAAGAAACTAAACTCTAAATCTACATGCAGTGTGTATTTTAACTTTTACTGCTGTCTCTACTAAATCTTACTTAATTTGTAGTTGTTGTATTTTGTTCTTTAATATGCCGCCATGTTTTATAAACCGCCCACTTAGCCAAGCCAAGATGCAAAACATGTTGGAATTGCTAAGTACATTTTTTGGATATCGCAAACAGGAGCTTGTTTTATGTTAATATGCTTTTTCTCCTTGTGTATGCAGAGTGTAAGCTGTCCCGGCCAGGCCCCCCTGCAACCATAGTGACCATTGATGAGGAGAGCCCCAACGGTACGTTCCCCTCTTATGCTACTTACTTATTTCTACTTTCACTTTATTGTGTATCTCTTAAATTCCTCTGCACTCGAGTGGTGTGGATTTCACAGTTGGGATCGTTTCTGTGCTAGAGTGAGTTTTGCTTTTGGTAATGCAATACATATTAATACTTCCCCTGCCGGGACTGTTTGGTGTTGTAGTGTGAGAGTACAGTCGCGGCGCTGATGGCACTCTGGGGCAGGTTGGTTACAGGAGATGTTTTGTCAGACATATTGGATTGCCAGTTTGATTGTGTTTTAAAATTATAGATTAAAAAATCCAGTTGTTCCTGGTGTGTGTATTTGTTCTGTTCTCCCTGGGTAAAGCAGAAGCGTGTGTGGGTCTGATTGAGTGATTACAGATGGTGTTTGGCACACAGACGTGACATGGGGCTCCATTAATGAGTAGTGTGCTCCTGCGCAGGTTACTGTGGTATACCTGTGCAACAGCGGTACAGGAGTCGCTGACGCGTGGAGCAGACACGCAGCACTTGAGTGGGTCGGCTGAAACTATTCTGCTCCTTCTTTTTCTTTTCCTTCTTCATCACGCCCTGCCTTCTCCATCATCTGCACCCACTTCTCATCTCTCTGCGGTTTTCCTCATCCTTTCCCTCCTTCCCCCACACGTGTCTTTGCTTTTTAAGTTTGCCATCTGCATTTTGTTGATGAGCGCTTGTGTATGTGCAAAGATATGTGTGTGTTTGCGATAGGAAGCGCTGAGTGCTGCTTGGGGAGGAGCTATGCGTTCATTGAGGGAATGAGTGATGCGTCTCACTAAATGGAACAGGTGTGTGTTTGTCTCACTCACTTTTCCCTGCAGATATTACTACAGCAGGTTAACAGGGTTTAATGAGCAGCTCTCAGTGCAGATAGGATCCAGGGCTTGTTTATGCTATATGAATGCAATCTCACAGATGCTCCACGTCCACACCATATATTCTCCTGGCACCTTGTGGATGGGAGTGTGTCTTAACGACGGAAATCGTCTGTGTGGCTGTACAGTACTCGCGCACCTTATGTGCATATTCGAATCCCGAGAGCATGATTGGATGGCTCTGTGTCAGATGAGGCAGCTATTTGTCAGCGCGATAGCTTCCAATTCAGGCTGTCATTCTGTCTCTTCTTCTTCTTCTTCCTCTCTGTGTGCAGCTGAAATTCAGGGCTTTGATCGATTGCCGGGGGAATGTGTGAGATGGAGGTAGCCAAGCCTGCATCCAAAAGCCTTGCTCGGCCCACATGTGTCGACGCACTGTGTGTCAGGCATTTGCGCTAATCTTCCTCATAAAGCACTCATTTACCTGGGATATGGGTCTCCTCTGGCTCCAGTGGCCTTTTATTTCTATCTCCTTGATGAAACGGCCCAGAGCCCGTCCTCCCTATAATGGAATGTAAAACAGACAACCCGCCGATATTGACCGAAGCAATTATCCCTGTAAATGTGTTTCATCTCTCCTCTTCTGTCACACAGAAACCATACAAATGGCACATAATAAGATCCCATCTTTTCTGAGCATCGGCCTTTATATTCATTCATGACAGTGACTGGGAAGGCAAACAATATAATCACCCGTCTGTCTGGCTTTGTTTGGCTGAGGTCAGAAATGATAGACAAATAAATATAAAATCTGGTTTCCCTTTTGCTTCTCCCCAGAGCAAATTTCATGTGAGTCAAAAAAAGCCAATAAAGTACATGTTTCCCAGCGAAGGAGGTGTGCTGCTCAGAAACATGTGCAACTGTCAACTTTTCAACATTTTTTTGCATTCATTGATTGTGTGGGGTGGAATTATATTTGACTCTGTTAAGACAATAAACCCTGGCACAGGCAATAATGTGAAATAAGGCAATTTTCCTGCTTCTGGCTTGTTTTTTTCATTTCAGCTGGCTGTGTTTTTTTATTCTTTGAGGTTTTCAATTTTGAAAAAGGGGAAATATTCACCAGGGGATAGCAACCCAGTTGCTCAAATGAAGCGTCACATGTTTAATTTATCCAAGCTGATGTTTCTGCAGACCCACTGACAGGTGCCAGACACAACACATGAAGTATAACACTCTTGCAGAGTTGATATCTATCGGGACAGACAAAGCATGTTTTCTATAGGCGCCTTTATTTGGTCTATGAGCTAAATCCAAAAGCAATTAATCAGATTGATTTCGATCTCACTGGATATGTGCAGAGTAGAAAGAGGCAGAGCGAGAGAGAGGATGTATTTCCTCATTGACAAAAAGCTTCCTACAACTGAGGATGCCATCGCAGCTTTTATCCTATCTCTGCAAACTCATGATTTATATCAACTGAAGTGTGCGTGAGGATCCTCTCACAACCTCCATTCATTCGAGCAACAGCTTAAAGGAAATCAGAAATGAGTGTAGCTGAATGACTTTATTAGAGAGAAGTCAATTGAGCATTCTTTCACATGTGTTGTCTGCTGAGGTGGATTCGCTCTTAATGCTGATAAATCAATGCAACTTGATGAAGGCTCACGCCCTAATGAAGGAGACAATCAGAGTTAAAACCTTCCATAGGCTGATGATGTGTTTAACTATATCAGTCACTAAAACACATTGTTGACCTTAAAGGTCCTGTGTGTAAGATTTAGGTGAAAAGGAACTATTGTCAGAAATTGAATATAATAAAAACAATCCTCATGATGTTTTCACTAGTTCCTTTCATCTAAATTGTATGAGGCCCTTTTTATTTAAATACTTTATATTTACATCGAGGGGACCTTCTCTACGGAGGCCGCCATGTTTTTAACATTAGTCCAGACTGGACAAACTAAACACCTTTTGAGTTTTTATGACAACTGAAGGCTGCCACAGGTTCTTTTTCATATTTGGAAGGAGAGAGTGAGGTGAGGGGTGTTCAGCTGCAACATGCAATTTCAACACTCAGTGGTTGGCCTCTCAAAATTCTACACACTGAACCTTTAAGACAATAGCCCCTGGAGATCCAGGATGATCTAAACAAGGTGTTTAAAAGGTAATTGAGCGATGCTGTAAGCTTTGGAAAGGTCCCTTTTTTTTTTTAGAACATTTCCTCTCAGTAGTTTGGTTTAACCAGGGCCCACTGTTCCCCCTCAGTTGAGCCTCTGTGTATTTTCATTCATCTAGAAATTAAATAGATGCATAGAACTGTTTAATATTGAATTTCTTGACAGCGAAATGGAAGTATAGGTCTCAGCAGCTTTCTGGTTTCAGCCTGTTACTGCTGTGATGTGCTTCCACTCACAGAAACTGTTATGACAAGCTTTTTGATTGGGTCATTATAAGCCTCCCATTAAGGCTACGGTCACTATCAGTCTCAAAGCGATGTACAAGAAAAGTTGATAATAAAAACTGAATGTTCATATTGCAAGCTGTTAATATAATGACCTATTAAACAATGCAGCGTAGAATGAGGCCCAGTATCTGCTTCCATGTCTCTACCCAAGTTAAAGCCATTTATTATTCCATAGTAGTCCAGTTTCATGGTACTTTTCATGTGGTTCTTTAATATTATTGTTATATCTACAGGTTTTATTTGAATACGATAGTGAGAGTAAAATCAGAGAGCAGCACTCCAAAGTACTACAATGTCCTTGTCTCACCTCTGCCTCTACACACTCGACTCTGAACGGCACCAAAGTCAAACATGTAAAGTTCTTCGGATAGAAAATTAAGTGAAGTATGCAGAAAAACCAACAGAGAGACATCTATAGGGTTTCGGCTGTTTCAACCAATAAGAGTTAACTCATATATGTATATTTAAGTTCCTGGTAGTATATTGAATTTCCAAGGTATACATCCCACTGAAACACATGAACGTGCCTGACAACTGCTAGAGGCCGACTTCTGGCTATCGTCTTCACACAGTGAGAGCGGGGGCAGGGTGGATGCAGGCAGGCAGGTTGGTTATTTGGACCATATGAAATGATTTCCAGCCTTTCCTCAGGTTTTCACACGTCTTTGTTTATTGATGGCTATCAGGACGTGAAGAGGATTCCAACAAATAAGATATAAAGTATTTCAGAAACAAAATACCAACCCTACCTTTAAAACAAGATAAAAGATGAGGTTTGATTTTGTGTTACATCCAGTACATATTGAGATATTTAAAGTTTTTTGGGATTTAATTTTTTTTTATTGTTTATTGAACAGTTATGTTATTTTGTTATTGTTGCTGAAAATAACTGAAGGAGATTTATCAGAGATTGTAACCGAATAGTATGTATCAAACAGGGAATTTTTATTATATATTTAATTATACAGAATTCAGTGATGATGTTTTAATAAAAGTGCTTGTGACTTCTCAGAGATTTATATTGTGTATCCCCATTCGGCCAAAAAATAACCAGATATGATTTATTTATTAAAGCCCCAGAATGTTTCCACTGCACTTTTTTTTTTTTTTTGACCCAAGACAAGTGGCTGCAGTGCCGCCTTGATGTGGCATTAAAAGATTTGAGGGAGCTGAAATGATGGCAAACGGGGAAAATATGGAGTGCCAGTGCTCAACAGCACGCAGTCTGTTTGAAGGTGTTTCCTCTCATTCAGGATTACGAGCTCTTGTGAGCCGTGCTGACTTTTCTCATGAGAAAACGTAACCAGCTCTTGCGTCTCACTGGTTGGCCTCTGGTGTTTGAAGAGCTTGGAAGCGGCTCTGGAAAGTGTTAAATGTGTTAGCAGGTTTAAACAATTATTGAGATGAGCCAGCCAATGTGAGTGGTTTCTTCTCAACCACCATGGACTCATTAGCTTCTCTGCTTAAAGTTAATTCATTCCCCCCACACTGTTTCTCTCTGCCGTCAGCTCCTCATTAGTTTGAACATACTCCGTTGTTTCATTCCTGTAATGTGTTGTTAGCCTGTTTCTGTGCACCTGTAGAAAACCTTTCACCTGTAATAAAAACACCCAGAGAGATTATCTCTGGGAATCCTTCAAGCCTCTCTCAGACAGTGGAGCTTAAACCAGAAATGGAATTTGTAAGACACATTTTG